AATCGTTCTCTGCTCCAAACATGTACTAGTACAAAAATAAAAAGTGAAAGAATTTTTTAAAAAAGCTTGAAGACCCCTTCAAGTACTCAGGGGTTGCAGAGCGTCCATCTCCCAGGAAGTGTGGGTGTGCCGGAGAGGACAGAGGCTGCGTCCGGAGCGGAAGGAGAGGGCAGCACGGACTCAGCAGCTACCCTGGTGCCCTGCAGCCCTGCCCGCGTACTCACGCCTCCTTCCACTGCCACACTGCCCTGAGGAACTCCTCCCGGCTCAGCTCGTGTCGCCTCACTCCCCGCTCCTTCCACAGCTGCTTCTCCACCACAGCCTGCAGTTGGGTCAGGGGCAAAGGAACAGTGAGTCAGGTCGCTTGAGGAAAAAATACACGTTCAACCAGCCAGAGGGAAAGGTGAGCAAAGACCCACTTGTGTAGCAATTCCTGCATGATCCGAGCCAGGGACCCACAGCACGCGATCCCCACGCATCCGGTGCCTACAACAGAAACACCTTCGCGGGAGCCCTGGGCTCACCCACCGACTCACCCCCGCCCACACTGTCCACCTCCCCTCCAAGAGCTGCAGCGGCCCCAGGCCCCTTACCAGCGCACAAGGGCGTCCTGGATGGCCACAGTGAGGGCATGGCCGAGGTGCAGGGAACCTGTGACGTTGGGAGGTGGGATACACATGGAAAAGGTCTCCCTGGTAGCCTGGGGCAGCCGTGCCTGGAAGGAACAGGAAAGTTGAAGGGCAAGAGAAGACGGGAGGACAGCACCCTTGGGGCCTCCAAGACAGAGAGCTTCAGGAATCCCAAGAAAGTAACCGAAAAAAGGTGAGATGGGGCCGGCCAAGAGAAACCTCCGTAGAGGCTATGGCCAGAGCTCTGCAACGTCAGCTTCACTCAGAGGTTCGGCTGTGCCCAGCGAACACCCTCGGCCAGGCGCCACTGACCTGATACTCTGGCTTGAAGAAGCCCTCTCGAACCCACCACTGGTACCAAGCAGCTTCCACATATCGTGGGCTGTAAGCAGGGGGCAGGGGCCCGGAGACATCTGTGCAGACAGACGGACAGCTCCGCTAAGTACTGACCTTCGCTGCCGCGGCATTTCAGCAGACCAAATGGGCAATAAAAATCAGAAGCGCGTGTTCCCTGGTTACCTTTCTTTTCACCTGGTGCCGTAGGAACGTCATATAATACTACCTCCTTAGGACTCCAGGCCTTCCCGGCTTCTGCAGGCGACTATGGGGGAGGGATAAAGGGGAGGCGTCCCTGATGCCCCAGCCCTGTGGGTCGCAGGCCAGGGCCCTCCACCCACTCCCGGTCCCAGAGCCCCGGGCGAGCCGCCCGGCCGACCTTGCTCCTCCCGGGTATCCCAGCCTGCAGCGCCGCCTGCTTCTCCCGCAGGCGCTTCTGTTTGGCCTCTCGGTTCCTCCGGGAGATGGACGAGCCATGCGGCTCGGACTGTGTAGAAAGGGGCTTGGACCTGGGTAGGCTCCGCGAGGGCCTCGGCCCCCGAAGTGGTGGTCGAAGCACAGTGGCCAGAGGTAAATGAGGCATCGGGAGTGCTTGGGGAAAGGGCACGATCTGTTCCGGAGGGGCAGCACATTAGCCGAGCAAGGACGTGCAGGGGCAGACACCCCCAAACCACTCCTGTTATTCCCCGCTTCCGGCTAGCTCGGTCTGAGCCCTCTCCTTGCACCCCTCCCGCCTTGAGGACTAAGTGCTTGGGGTGGACAAGCACCGCACCCCTGAGTCAGAGACCGGGCGCTTCTGCCCCTGCGCCGCCGCCCGCGGACACTCGGGGCGCAGAGGACCGGGGCCCGGGACAGACGGACAAGGCGCGCGGGGAGCCGGCAAGGGGCCCGCCAGGGTCACCGCAGTCGCGGCAAGCCTGGGGCC